ACCTTGGGTGGCTTAGGCAATATCAAGAGGGATTTCTAAATAGTGGTGAAAAGAAGTTATAAACAAGAGGCTTACCTTAGTGGTTTGGACCTGGTAAAAACGTGTTATATGTAAAAACAGTAAAGGCTCCGAACAGTGATAAAATCCTACTGCAAAACAATGCCCACGATATATGTTGCCATATCTATCAGCCAGGCCATTGCTCCGCAGGTAACTTTGGATCATGCTTTCATCAAAGAGGCTATAATTTATTTAGCGTAAATACACATTCTGTCTGTAATTTATAAGATTGATTAATAAAAATGAGGTACAAATCCATTGACAAAAATGGGACAATAATTTTGAAGCTTATAATTGGCAATTCGTTATTGACGCTACGTCGTGCAACATGCTGACTGAACTCGCGAACGTGTATTTCCCTACCATAAAAATCTCAAGATTAACGTATAGGTCAGTATATAAAATAGACAAATTTTCCCAGGTATACGAATGACATAAACCCACTATTGTATACTCATAATATATAATATACAGTACGAATAGTTTCGTTTCGCGTTAGACCTTCTTCACGCTCAGGACTGAGCGCTGTTAGGTGGCCTAAGCAAGGCTAAATAATAAGTACATGATTAGTCTCACGTCTTTCCTACATTGGGTCAAGTGTTTAGGAGCGACCTAATAAGGTCAAAAAAGGACATTGCGAGGGCTTTCCAACGCCGCGTTCCCGTCAACTCCAAGAAGCCATAAGAGCTCCGACGATGTCAACTAACAAAAAAAAAAAGAGTAACTCTCATAGAACGTAAGTTAGCCAAAGAAAACGCATCGCAGTAACCTCAGTAACACACGCAGTGACGTTTTACTTTGCACTGACTGTTTCGCACGTGTAGGCGCAAAAATAGGAGAAATATACGCCAACCTTTATAAAACAAACGCAATCCTTGACAAGTTTTCAAAACTTAAATCAAATTCACACTCTACATAGTAAACAAGCTTTTGTTGCAGTTTGATCCCTAGCACCTGCTTCAGCTTTTGGACATGGTAGGTCGGTCGATTCTCTCCATTTTCAGGATGTGTTAGATAGCAGCATAACCTTAGTGATAAAACTTCTACGGGAATTTCGCACGTTTGTAGAAACAGTTTGAAACGGCACGTTACTCCTTCTTTCGCCTATCATTTGTGGTAGGCGCTGCAAACCTTACGGCATGCCTTAAAAAAGTCCTGGATTAGACGAGTGACTTGAGGACTTGACTGGCGCAGACTAATCGCTAAAGTTATTCCTGTACTCGAAAAAAACTAACCCAGTTGGTATGGCTGTTACGACTGAAGCTGAAACAGTTGTTGAGCTGAAAGCAGTAACCTGTATGGCCTCATTGTGCCTACTCCGGACCTCACTTACACCTGATTTCTGAAATGAATTCAACGTCGTGGTAAAAAGGAAAGTACAGCAAAAAGTGCCGGTTTTCTCCCCAATAGTTAGCCAGAGGATCAGGGAACCTATTGTATTATTCTAAAACATAATGGGGCCATTTAATTTAACTAACGATGTGCAGTAAGGTATCTCATAATGTCAGCCCTATTTTCGGTTTTAATATTTCAAGATTCATTGGCACATTACTAGGTTGTCTTTTTAGGTGGTGCTTTAATTCAAAGCTGCAGGCGACCTTTTTTTCGGAAACAAATACCTTATAGCAGTACTGAATAAAAAATATGAAATATTTGCTTATCTTTAAATTGTAAATTCCTAGTCATTGGTGAGAGCTTTCAGAAAGACTAATGACATATAATTCTATAGCAGGTATACTTCGAGGAACTATTACGGATTAACGCAGGTTTCTATAGCTAAAGAAAAAAAATTCCCAAGATGTTTGCTAACCATCATAACGCGTTTTTACAGGTCCTGCGTTCGAAGTCTATGCATCAGGAAGTTGACCTATGTATCTGAATAAGCGGTTTAGGTCCACCTAAGGTTGCGTGCAAATTACATACACTTCCAGCCACGGAGTGTCAGACAGATGTTTGAACGTATGATTAGGCAACAAGCTCAACATACGAGAAAAAGAGATATAATAGTTACCCATTAAACAGGGAAGACTGGACCTGAGAGCAGGAACTACGAAATTAGCCTTGTTTGTTATGTCCTGTCGGCCTTCGGATTCGGCCGACTTGCTAAATCTTAGTTTGTTAGTAATGAAGTCCATTCAAAGTCAAGCAACGCAAAGAATGAAGCTGTGGGCGGTGCCAAATCACAGAGAACTTTGTAGTATGTTGGACTACAACTTACTGTTTATGGTTTTGTTGTTGAGATTAGGGTTTCGATAATGCGGGCCTTATAAATACCCCAGATGTCCGGGTAGGATGGCGAGTTATGCAAAAATAAAGCCTAGGATGGTTAGTGTGGTTAACTATTAAATACTATGATAAAATGTTTTCGTGTTGGACAAAAATGGCTATTGTATCTTCAGTTTCGTACAGTTTCGTATAACGTTTTGTAGAGTTTTGTTAATGGCCGTAACAGGGAACCTAAGAAAAAAACAATTTTTTATCGATTCGATTAGTCGTGCAGTAACTGTTTGAATCAATGCAAAAAGCAAAGTTGTGTGTTAACGATGGAGCTCGATTCTCAGTCATACTTAGTACAATAGATCTCCGTCGGGAGTATCCACGATATTATGAGAATGATTCGTCGCATCACCCAATCAGTATCGATAACAAACGGTGATTGAGAACATAAACATTGACGTCATAACGCGGGCATGTTATACTTAAAAGCTGTCATCAGCATGGAACGGAGATAAGCCAGCAGCGACATGTAACAGTCAAAAAATGTTACCATAACAATATTGTTTACTAATCCTGAAAGTGCCCCATATACCCCATACCGTGAGATGGTACGTAGATGTGCATTTTTCTTAAACCGCATTTATTCTTCTGCATGTTGAAAATCAACTTTTTTCTGCTTATTTGATAAGTTGAGAAATGATAATTTGCTTCACAGATCTTCTTGTTTCGAGCCATTCGTGTGTTTTGTGGACGAAATCGTTGCTTTATTTATATCTTTCCCATGTTCGCATTAACTGAATGTGAGCCAGTAAACCCGAAACAGCGTTTGCGGACAGGGCGCTTTCTCAGGCAGTCGATACTCCGCTTGTAGGTCGGTCAATAAATAAAAAATAAATCGATCCCCTGTAATACTACAGCGTAGCGAAAAAATGCACTTAACTGATTACTGACGAGGTAAAAGTAACTGCTTTGTGTTACGTGCAGACTTCACAAAATGGAAATTATCAAAACTCCTTACAGGTTATTGTCGCAAGCTTTCCTTCGACATAAGCAAAATATACAACTTGACGATAAAACACTTCCATTCAAATGAGGCTTATGAAAACCTCAGAGATCACTCCGATCTGCACACAATAATGGATAGATGCCTACACGTTTTGCACCTCAGAATGCGGCCGGTCGAAGTTTCCAGACCTAAATTCGGGCTGATGGAGCAAAGAGCATACCGAATACAACAAACAAAGCTACGCATCGAAGTCGCTTTTTTTTTTTTTTCTTGGGTAGTAAATGCGTATTTGTACGTGCAACAAGCGTTGTCTTTTAGAACGTGCGGAATATCACGATATGCGGGACTCACCAAAGCCATTCCGATACGAAATTTAGTCTTTCACCTTTTATTCGTTGACGGGTACATATCTCAATAGTCTGTTCCGAGATAACATTAAGAGGCAAAATGTCATCGCTCTTAGGAACATCTCGGCTGAACAGTAGCAAGAATCAGGTAGATCTCGGGCACCGTGAATGGCTGTAGATAGAAAGACTGAGTTGCTCTCATACGCGTGCGTCTTTGAAATAATAGTACTGATATTTCAATTTCATCAGTCTTCCTGGGATGGACACATGGGTATTTCCATAAAGAAACGCACTGCAGAACCACAAAACTTTTCATATTCAATTTCTGTAAAATGTTCGTATTCCATGCTTGTGCCAGCATAGTTTATGCAGATCTTTTTTTTTTTTGTTTAGTTATTTATAATTCTCAAAAAGGTCAGGATACTTATATTAGGGAAGGAGAACTTATAGTAGTTAAAATAATATAAAAATATATACAAATTTGGAGTAGGTTTGGACATCTGCTTCGGGTCTTAATTAATTATTGTTTGCTCTGTAATTTTTTTTATAAACGCGAGGTGTTTTATCAACGAAGCTGTCACTTTTGAGCGACTCTACGAGAATTGCCAGCGGCGTTACGCTAAATAGCAATGTGACAACGGTGACCCGATCGAAGAGAAGCCCATTTCGATATTAGTTAATCAACGTAAGAGATGAGTTTGTGCTTGAAAAACCCTACCCTCTCAAGTCGGCCAAATGTTCTGTCGACAATACGATGGACAGAATTACGCTTTATGGCTGTTATGCCGAATAAGAAATAGCAGTAACAATTTCTCCGGGTGTCAACTATACGATAGGCAGTGGACGTCGAAACCTCGTCTACTATTTTAGCTATTAGAACTTATACAAATAAATGATTACTTCAGAATTTCAAACAATTTAAGCGTTCAAAAAAGATCTATCTGCGTATTGGCATACAGAATCTATAATATTGAGGGCAAACGAGAAATACTCTATCTTTCAATAAAAAGCTGAGAAAGCAAAGCGTCATGTATCGAATATCTGAAAGGCACGTACATGACGAGAATTGGATCCTTGGATCATCCGACTCTGACCCAACCAAAGGCGTTCATTCATCAAAACGCCTTCATTTTCGATAGTTCTCATTGAAATCAACCATTCCGTGTCATTTCCCTGTGACAGAAATACGGCAGTCTACTCATCGCTAATCGTTACCGAAATGCAGTAAGTCTTATTTAAGAACAAGACTGGGTACAGAACAATTTCTTATTAGTTGTGAGTGGTAGTTAAGCTTATGTAACACTCGACAAGCGTGTTTCTAGGAAAAAAAAAAAAAAAAAAAAAAAAAAAAAAAAAAGGTCAACATTTACCATTCGAGGAGATGAACATGGCGCTCATCCAGAGCAATACCGGAATCATTTTTGTAGTCCAGCACATTTTGAACAGTGAAATTTCAATAGATGTTAACACTATATAGTCTTCTTTTGCACTTGTACGATATAATCTTCACTGAGCTATCTTAATCAATGGTCAGTATTAACCGTATGCATATCTTGTTCAACATCGAAATACTCTCAAACATGTGAGCAGATCTGCTCAACAGCATATGTACGAGCAAAAAATCAGCCTAGAGAAATTCAGAAGCATCACAGGCGTATCCGTTTAGGACTTCCTACAAGAAATCTGTTTCCATCACCACCATTGTATAGTCCTTTGGATCTCGTTTCGGGTATTTACTTAAGGCACCAAACGTCCACTTAGCGAAGTCCACCTATCCCGAAATGCCGAAGTTGTTTTTGTTGTTAGACGAAGTGCAACGGTAGACCGTAATGACTCCTATAACTTGTTAAGGCTTAGATATTGTAGCAGTTGGAACCTTGGACAGAAGCCGATTCGCAGCCCTGTTTCGACGCCGAGCGGTCTATTTCTGAACACTGTGTTCGCTGGTTAGATACGGTTACACGCGTAGTGTAATGCATATTGAAAGAGGCGGGGAAAGAACGTGTCGTGAAGACCTTGTAGCGAGCGGCCGCGACGCGTCACTGACCAGGAGAGGGCTGTTTGCCGCTTCACGCTCTTGTTACTGACAAGAATCGGGTGTTTAAATATCTCTAAATTATTATTGTTACACGTGTATGAATGAAGAGTTTCTGTTGAGTTGCTTTTATATATGCATACACTGTTGTGTGATAATAAAAAAGTGACAAAAAGAAAAAATACAACTGAGCTCCCATTAGATGCGCTTCTTCAAAAGAATTTTTTTTTTGAGGATCCAGCTGGTGGGTCGTCCTTAAAAACTTCTTATTATTAGACCTCTTCTTCGAGGACGTACGGAAGACGAAATTAATACATACATGGGATGACAATCGAGATTTGCGGAACGACAAGATACCGTCTGTCATTGTCATCGCAAGAGAAGATTCCCCAGAGTATATTAATGGTGCGTTTCAGAAGCTTTCTAAACTACCACTGGCTAAATATTTGGCAACACCAGTTGGATTCCGGATACATGGACAAACCTGAATGACAAAAGTGCCTGAGTACGGAGGAAATTGTTTGCGCCTCTGACGTTCTATCAGAACAGTTTAGATATGTGGCACGTCAATGACATACGAGGATCCCTCCAGTGTAATACATAACAAGCAAGAAACAAGTGTTCTTTCAGCGGAACAATTAAAGCAAGCATACATGGTTTTAACACGTAATATTCCGCAACTCCAAACATGACAGCGGGTGGCCCTGTTAGAAAAAATCGCATAAAGCGCATGACGTCTTCCTCAGAAGACTACAGAGGTACTTCGCCGTCTAGTTTTGTCTTTTTTTTCAGATTAAAACTATAATCAATCGTCCAACAGCACTGTACTAGTCTCATTACCTGTAAAATCTCGCACGAGTAATGGCTTTATTTATTTATTTATTATATACTTCTTTGTTTATTTGTATTTCTATAGGGTTTGGCAGCTCTCGAACGCTAACGCGACAATGAGTGCGATGTCGTTTCTAGCGACAGCATGTGCAGTATCTATGGGTTGCCTCCCTGGTTTGATCTGCCGCCATTGCTGTCGTCTGCTATTTTGTCTATATCTGTTGTCTTTTGCACGACGATAAACCGAAAAGGTTAACTCTTCGAAATGGACAACACAAAAAAAATAAAGGAACACATTTCAGTGGCTGTCAATAACGACGATTATGATGGCTGTCTATATGTGATAGTTTCGCATCAACAGCGCAAGCTCGATACAAAATCCATTTGTATAAAAAGAGGCATTGATAAGCCTAAGGACACGTTGTTTCCATATGTCTAAAAGTTTTTCGAAAACTAAGATAAATCAGAATTGTGAGGCGAAGGCGAACGTTACGCGAAAGTAGAAGCACGTAAAAATAGTGCAATATTAATATATTGGTGATCGGTACATGTGATGGTCAGCGATGCGCGGATAGCGGCTCACAGTTGCTTCTGATTTTATCAATATGGCTGACACAATATTGCCTATTTCCGTTAATCTATGCAAAGAACAAAGATTCATGCAGTGGTCAGCAAATATAATTGTTGTGATGCACATTGTCAAGTAAAATGCCTCGTAGCCAGCTGCAGGCGCTGCATAACTTACACTGCTCCTTATCGAAACCATGTACGTCAAATTACATTATAGACCTGGCTTAATAAACTAATATATTCCTTAGTTTTCAGCTTCTGTAGCCCTAAATGAAGTTTTAATAGGTGTGCCTTTTAGGATATGAAACGAATGAAGAATATGAATCGTTACCGAGCTTGAAGCAACGATCGAGCTAAGACATCCGTAGCAGTTAGAAAGACTTACAAAGGACCATGCTTTCTAACCGTATATAATAGTCCATAGCTAAAAACATAAATTCTGACATTTATTCATTTATTAGGATACTTAACGTCTAGTTCAACTTGTATGGTAAAAGTTTAATAATAATAATAAATAAATGTAATAATACGTGTATAGTGTAAACCGATCGAACGCAAGAAGAAGCCCAGCCTATTGAAACGTTAAGAACAACGTTACTCCGTTCCTGCGTAGCACGATGCTGTTCTCTTGATCGATATCTGCTATTTTCTGTAAACAATGATCGATACACTGGGTAAATAGTCAAAAACATTGTTTTTTAGGCACCATTCGCGTAGTGTCACAGACTGCTGACCCTTCTTGGCCACAAATGACAGGAATCGATGTAGACGAATATTTCTATAACAAACGGCGAGCTCATAACAGACTGAAGCTATCTTCCTTTGGGACGAAGGCGTACGTCGGCTTCAGCTCGTTTGATATTTGAGCTATAGTTAATATAACATTTTCTAGAAATTCTGTGATGCCTAGTCAACGGCGCGTTTTTTTTTCAGCCGTGAATTCAGCCGAAATATCCTTAAACAGATCATACTTTGCCACGTCAAGCGGGGCGGCGACTAGCCCACCCTTCTGAATCTACGTACCGTATAGACTCCTCATTCTGGTCAGCTGATTTCGTAATATAAGAGGTCTCTAAAACTGACTATACCCTTTCGTTCCTTTTTTGCCTATAACCTTAGGTTACTTTACCCGATTGATCGTACCGAAATGCCCTCGCTCGAACAGTGTATGCCTTCTGCCTAGTACAATGCCACAGCGCGTAGAATCGTTCACTCATGTTTGCGTTTTCCCCACAGTCAGTAATTGCTATGAAAGTCGACTGAGGAATAAGCGAAAGTATTTGTAACCTTTTCTAATCAATCTTGTCAATGTAATATCTGTTAGAACGCTACTTTATTATTATTATTATTATTATTATTTTTTTGGTTATTTTGATTTTTTTGAGTTATTTTGATGGGTCTTGTGATAATGTGCTAATATAGCAAGCATACAAAGCTGAGGCGCTGACAACAAAGCACTTCAACAGCGAAGATGATTTCCATGAACGGTATCGAGTAAAGCAATGAATAAACTTCACTGACCGTATTCGGGTCACTGGGTAACTGAAAGAATCTATGAAATATCGAGACGAAATCAATTCGTGATCATTGTTTCTAGAGCAAACGCTCGCGTCGTTCATGAAGAGTTAGGTGAGAGTTACGCCGGCCGAGCGATACAATATCAAGCAACGTTATGTCCATAGTTGGCTATACTATGGCCACTGCCATACAGGTTTCTGACGTTACAGCTTCTAGGTGGACAGCCCGCAACACACCAACAAATGTAAGCATCTAGTCGGGGTTCCTCTTTCTTTCACCTTATAGGGGCTACATGGATAGCGTCCGCCGACTGTTCGATAGTCAACAAAGCAGGCAGTGCGACACTCCCGCGGCCAGCGCCGGTAGCATATTCAAAAGTTGGCAAAGCTGGCCCGTAGTTGATAACGAAATGATTGATTAGCTAAAAACTAGATTGCCTGCTTTGCTACCGGTAGAATTCCGTGCACCGGTTCGAGTTGTCACTGATACCAATACACCTGTCATGTCCTACAGAAGCACACGGCCACGAGTAGCTCGTACAAAGCCGTCTCTGCAGGTTCACTGTCGACAGCGGTCGCTGTAGTGAGGTGGAGCCCCGCAGTGGTAAGTGAACTGCAGACAAAAACGGACACAAGCAATAACAACAATACTGGCAGTTCTATTCAGTTTGACTGTCGCGTTATCTACTTGAAGAATCGAACCGCGCCCACTGCTGGCAGCTGCAACAAGGCATACTCATAAACCGATAAAGGATAGTAGACGCTGCCGCGCTAATCAGCTGGTCATGACCTTTCGCACCGTAGCGTCCAGGCCCATCATATACTATCTATTTAGACTGAACCTAACACGAGAACGTTGCAAGATGGGTTGAATAAGAAATCTACAAGAAAATCTTAGATTTTTAGCGACCGAACGGATTCTCTGTTCTCGCTTGTCGCTGACCCGTTGTTAAACACTCAACACCTGCACTCTTTAAGATAGATAGTAAATCTGTGACGCAGAGGCAGTAGCGGTCGGACGGACGCACGGAAACAGGCTGAACAGAACGAAGAGTGAGACCCGATCACTCCGTACGTAGCAGCAAAGCGATGCTTTGGATAAAAAGTGTAGACAAGATTACGTGGGCTATCGTACACAGAAACTACTACTCAGCAGGAAGCATAAATAGGAATTGACGTTTTGCCTTACATTCGACGGACATGAAGTAGCAACAATAAACGAATAATTACAAGTCTAGAAGCCTAAGTAACATCGAAGAGTTCTAGGATTAGTCGCTCCTTTCCTCAGAAAAGCAGTAGTAATACGAAATGGGAGGGAAAACTCAGCGAGCTGTTGTTAAACCCGCGATATATCACCGTAAGTGAGGAGCGGATTAGAATCGCCGTGTCCATTCTTACCCAGCATTTCGCTGCACTGCCGCATGTGACTGCCGTCCAGTGCGAGCACCTATGCCGCTGTGCACACCGCTACACGTAGAACATTGTAACTTCAATAGATTTTGTGCATAACTAGCAGAGTCTTCAAGTCCTCAAATAAATTGAGCGTAGTAATGAAGGAACGCGTTGTGTAGCAAGATAATTTCACATGTTGAACATAATGCAAAGTTTGAAACAAAATATGGGTTCGAGTTTAGGTTGGCTTAGTTGTCATTATTAATATCTTTGTTAAGTAAATAGGCTAGCCTTACAATTGAGGGAAGTGATAATCTGGCGGAATAAATACACTTGACGAGATCTCGTCTGACGAGGAGGCTTACCTACGCAGATACCTCAGGTACAGCTGCAAGCTTCCAGTTGATTTGCGAACAATATGCCTGACTTGTTGGCCTATAGAATCACTCAGAAATAAGACGTTTCGTTGCCGAGAGTAAAATTTATGGTACGCTTTATATTTAGCTAATCCTTATTTGGTATCGTCCAGCTGGTCGAGTACCAAGGAGGAGTACTGCGCTCACCCTGTGTA